GCTTCAACTCTTTGCATATCATAACTAGTTGGAAATTTATGGATGGCCTTTGGTTATTGATATCAAACTTTCAGCCCTTGGTTAACATGAATTTCAGACATTTTCTGACATTGCAAGCTTAAATAAAAGAAAAAAAAAATACAAAGAGAAAAAGGAAAAAACAGGCTTACGAAGTATGATCGTTTCTTATCTTTTATTCCTCAACGCATTTCCTCCCTTTCTCAATTCACTGCTCTTTAAATTAGTCTTGCTATCCACCTAATAAAATACAATTGCAGCCACGTCGGTAAAATGTGAAATTTTTATATTCTAATTAGAATTGAAATTTTAAAAATAATAAATACAAAAAATTTAAAACACAATTGCAATAAAAAAAAAATAAAACCCAACTTGCCAAAGATAACAAAAGAAAAGGCCACAAAATTATAGAAAAAAGCCTAGCCCAAGCATAAGAAATTAAAAACTGAAGCCCAAATTACAGGGTTGTTTTTGTCATTTAATATTACGTAGGGTGAAAATTGCACAACCCCCAAATCCCCCACAATCAAGATAATTTCACAAAATTTCTAGTCTCGTTTCTCTCTTCCAAATCCCCTCAAAACCCAACCGGACTTTGTTAAATCTCTTTCTCTCTCTCTCTCTGGTTTTCAAGATTCCTACCTAAATGTCTTAATTGAACAACGCTACGATAATTTTGTAGATTCCTTTCTAAATTATCTCCACCTACAGAAAATAAAAAGGAGAAAAAAAGAAACGGAGCCCTCGTTCGGACACGTTGTCTTTTGTATACAGTTTTAGACACTGTTGAGAGAAAGTGGCACGTGAGAGCTTCCGTTTTCGCGGGGCGAGGGAGGTACCCACAGATTTGCCAGCTGCCCACAACTTGGACTTTGGAGCGATCATTTTTAGTGGGTGATAGAGTAAGTGCAAAGAGTAAAAGTATGAACCTCCTTAGTTTTGTCGTGACGGGATAATATAAAAAAATATAATATAAAAATATAAATATAATTTAAATTTAAATTTTTAATAAAAATTATATAAATGATAAAAATAAAAAATATATAATTTTTTATATACAATACAATATAAATATATAAATTATTAATAATTTATATAATATAAACGCATAAATGATCACGTTGATTTACACTTTAGCTAAATAAATTGTGCTATTTTAGTTAAAATTTTGCGTCTTAATATGCTTGAGATTGCACGATTTATTTGGATAAAGTTGTAAAACGATGATTGGCCGTCAATTGCATTCATGTCCTTTGGGCTAACATGTCCTTCTGTTTGTTTATGCCTTTACATTCTTAGTTTATGCCCACATTGCCCCCGTGTTGGAAATATAAACTGCAAGTAACAAACGCTTTGGAAAGTTTAGCTAAATGAATATTAGCTGTCTGTTGGTTAAATTTCTGAAATTACGGATTAGAGGTTTTAAGTTTATATTTTTTAAGATGTGCTAAATAAATAAAGATTGAAGATTAAGAATAAATTAAAAATTAAAAAAATATATATTTGGAAATTTTACTCATACATCTCTTCACAATAACTTAATAATAATAATAATAATCTTATATCTATAATAATTTAGGATTATGATGCAGATGGCGCTAAATGGCTTGTTTCAAGCTATGGAATTGGTTTAGGGACAAAATGCGAAAAGTTCTTTGGCATACTTAAAGTAGATATGGTTTCCAATAAATGTGTCAAAATTATCCTTTATAGCCATTTTTTTGTAAAATTGTTTGGTAAAGGATTATGATATATATTAATTAGGGATTTAAATTATGATAACAATCATATTTTTGGTCACGTCACATTTATTATGATTGCAGATGTAAGTGAGATTTTTATAGTCATTGAGCTATCGTAGTTGTGAATTTTTTAAAATTTTACTTAACTTATTATAAAATATAATAATTTTAATTATTAATTATAAAACTTCTTATTTTATGATTTTTAAAGTAATTTATATCATATCATGTGTTTTATTTATTTTAAAAAATATTTATAATAAAATATTCATATTTAAAAAATTATTCATATGATTATTAAAAAATAATAAGAGATAAATAAACATGTAAAAAATAAATAATTATAACAAATGATATATTTAATTATTTAATTATCATATTTATCAAATTATTACCGAACTATATTATGCATAAATCAAATAATAAGTGATTAGACATCTATAAATTAAAAAAAAAAGTATTACTATTTATAGGCCAAGAGAATTGCTTTTTATGGGCATACAATAAATCAAACTTGGCAGTCTCCATGTTTTAGACAATCTTTAACAACAATAGCCTGAAGTCTATTTCCTTTGCCTTTTGATTAAATTACATAGACTCACACAACTTCTTATCCCTTCACTTTACATTTATTAATTTTTTCTCCAAACCTTCATTCTCATTGCCTTCTCTCAATTTTCTTTTTTTTTTTTGTTATCTGCTCATCTCCGTCAATTTCAAATCTTACTCTAATCTCTTGTATCTCATTTTAAGTTACAAACAACTCCTGTTTCCTTCTACCAATGCACAATAACTCAATCTAATCCCAAACACACAAAATCACAACAAATTTGAAAAAAAAAATTTGAGTACTGAATTAATTATTTATCTTAAACTGTATATACTTGATCTTAATTGAAGTTGAATTTGAAAAAATTGATATTTTTAGAAGTTTAAGTTTTGTGGGTTTTTTTTTTTTTTTTGAATTTGTAAATTGATGTTTTATTTTTTTCTTGTTTTTTTTATTTTAAGTTTTTAAACATAATAAAATTAAATTTAAAAAAAAATTTGAATGAAAAACGGAGTAATGGACAATAACATATCATTATTGTCGCTATTCAACGTTACATCATAATTCGCAACTACAATAAATCCGTTATATATGATATTCATATTCTTTTTTTTTTTTTTTTAATAACGATGATAAATAATGATGCGATCGTGAAATAGTAATCGCTATATCATTATTGGATCGTTATTTAAATCTTTGATATTACCAGCAGTCCAAGCAACTGATTTGATGAGCCTGATTGGGTAATATTGATTCCGAAAGGAAAATCCTCCCATTCTACTTTCCATGGACTGCATACAAATTTACCATATTAAATCCCTCTTCTATTGTACTCACAAATGAACACTGTAAAAGCTAGGGTGTAGCAGAATATTACTTTCTTCTTTTTGGACAATAGAATAAAATATCAATTATCAAGAAAAAAATATAATTTATATTTATAATAATATATAAAACAGGGTGTGTATAATTTTTTATTCACAAAATAAATTTATTTATTTAATAGATTTTTAAATTATCATTTTAAATAATTTTTATTGATTATAATTTAAATCAATATTAATTAGATTTATTTTATATATAGATTGTTAGAAATATTTTTAATATATTAAAAGATAAATTGATTAAATATGATAATTTGATTAAAGATTTGAGAAACAAAGTATTTAAAACTAACTTTAAGCGTTGACAAGGTTCTAAATCAAGTTAAAATAGTTCAAGAAAATAAAGAAGTAAAAAAAAAAAAAAGTTCCTAAGGACAGTAGTCGACTGCCATGACAGGGTAGTTGGCTATTGTGACTTTCAGAATGAGAAGAAACTTTCTGTTTCAAATTCATTTTTGAGAAGTCGACTGCTCAAATATGGAAGTCACTGCTCTGGCAGGACGAAAGCCTTCTGTTTCTAAAATACAATATGACATTCGAATGTCTGTATAAGGAAGTCAAGTGCTCTTATTGAAGTTATGTTTTTCTGGAACGTGAATATTTTTTTTTGGAATAAAAAATATGATTATTTAAATAAATTAATATAACTTTGATGATTTTAAAATATAATTTTTTAATTAAAGGAATTGATTTTTGATTAAAATAATATAATAAATAAATTAACCTTAAAATTTAATCTTTATAAATAAAAATTGTGAGTGTTCATTTGAAAAAGTTCAAGCATTGATAATTCAAAATTTCTTTTCTTTTTCTTTCATTTTTTTTTTTTACAAATAAAGTAATATTATTTTGACATTATTTCGGCAGGATTAATGTTTTCATTTTCATAAGTAGAGATTGTTTATGTTTATTTGAGAAAGTTTAAAATTTGATAATTCAAAAACTCTCTTTTTTTTTTTTATGAATAAAGTAAAATTACTTTAATACCATTTATAAAAAAATGATATTAAAGTTTATTTTATTTTTAAATTATCATTTAAATATGTTTATTGATTATAATTTTTAATTATAATAATAAATTAAAAGTAATAACATTTATATGATGTATATGTAAGAATTATCCTTCTATTGATTAGCTTTCATTAGAAAATGATTTACATAGTTAAAAATTTTTATTTATTATATTTATAAACTCCAATCACATTAAACATTTGTCTCCATGCTGACAATAAATACTAATAATTATAGATGGATGATAATAAGATTTATCTAATATATATACCTAATAATTCTAATGATATTGAATCAATTTCATGAAAAGATAATTAAAATTTTAAAAATTTTTGGTATTTAAAATTATTAAAGATAAATTTTAATAATTTGAATTAAACAATTTTTATTATCTATAAAAATATATAAAAATATACACAAAAATTAATTTCAAGAATTAAAAATTATTATCAGTACTACATATTTAACATCTAAAATAAAATTTTCAATTTTATAATCAAAATAAAAAAAAAGAATGTAATATATAAAATTAAGTGCAATGTAAGTGACATAGAAAATAATCAATAAAGAAAATAGAGAAGCAAGCACAAATTATATAAAGAAGAGGGGTATTCAGTCCATTAGAAAAGATTGATATTCAATGCTGAAATCCTACCAACCACATCATGTCCTATCAACGCCGGTTAACGTCTCTGTCTCTGTCTCGGTCTAACGTTCCAATAATTGAATTTTTAGAAACAAAATATACTTTAAAAATATTAATATATATCACAAACAAAATCCAGAAAAAAAAATCCATTTATTTTATTTATTATTTTTCAAGTGCAAAGTGTTTACATTTCTTCTTATTATTATTATCAGATCAGTCGGAGTAGTTTTTGCTGATTAGGAAGAGAGATGAAGAATGAAACCCACCTCAGACCCCCTAATTTCTTTCATATTTTCAAGCTTTGATTCATACCCGCTAATAAATTCGCCTTCTTTTATATCCTCGTAACTTCGTTTCTTCTCCTCGAGTCATCCATTTTTAGAAAAGTTTGTTTTGCTTTTATCTCTTTAATTGCAGAACAAAAAAAAATCTGTTATCTGGGCTTTGGCTTTCTTTCTTTTTTAATTCTTTTAAAGCTTTCACTTAATTCTGGATTTTTGAAGATAATTCCATTTTCATTTTTTTAATATTTTTTATAATTATAATAATATGAAAAAGGAACTGTCGTAGCCATATTCAAATGTGAGACCTTTTTTCTGTGTCTTGTTTGCAACTCTTCCTCTCATCAATTTCTTTAAATAAAACCCATTTGGGATTTCTTCAAATTTCCAAGCTTGCAAGCTTAAAAAAATTTACCTTTTCATGTTTCAAAGCTTGTGGTTTTTTCTCATTTTTGATAAAGCCCTTATAACCCATATTTTCTTTTCTCTTGACCTATAAGAAAAAATGTTTGGTACTCAAAGCAAAAGGGACCTTGCCTTGGAATTGCAAGCACAATTTCCAATCTTAAGGCCAAGCATTCATGCAAGAAGGGCAAACCTAACAGTGAAATTCCAAGACCTTTATGGGTTCACAGTAGAAGGCAATGTGGATGATGTTAATGTGTTGAATGAGGTAAGAGAAAAGGTAAGGCAACAAGGGCGTGTTTGGTGGGCACTTGAAGCAAGCAAAGGAGCCAATTGGTATTTGCAGCCACAGTTTTCTTCATTATCTGAAGGAATTGCGTTGAAATCTTCACTCAAATTTTCAGCTTTGGCTAATGCTATTACATTGAAGAAGCTTATTAGGAAAGGTATTCCCCCTGTGCTTAGGCCTAAGGTTTGGTTTTCGCTTTCGGGTGCCGCCAAGAAGAAGTCTACGGTACCTGAAAGCTATTATAATGATTTGACAAAGGCGGTAGAGGGTAAGGTCACACCTGCTACACGGCAGATTGATCATGTAAGTTCCTGCATTAGGTGTGTTTTGCATTTGCGTGATTGGTTTTTTTTTTTCTTTCTCTTTTTCTATTTTTATTTGGATCTGTGTTTAGATTGGATGGCTTTTGGTTTTGGATGTGATGTTTATCTGGTCTTTTTCTAGAGTTTTGGTTAATTTTGGATAATGATTTTGGAATTGAAAATACGTATCTGATTATGGACCTAAAAGCAAGGATGATTTCATAGGATAATTTTGGGGTTTTGCGATGTAATTCACACAATATTCTTTTCTATTTGCGTAACTTAAAAGAAGTAGTCGTGTTTGAGAAATCACCCCATGAGAAGCTTTTGATCTGTTGACAAAAGGGTTTCTTTTGTAATGAAATCTAACAAGGTTGGAATTGAAAACGTATGCTGTTGACATTGCAGAATTAGAAGTTATATCAATTTGAGTCAATGTTTTTATTGAATCTGATGATCTTATTGGAAGTATCTTAGCAATTTCAGTTTTCGTTGTTTTTCAGCAATAATTGCATATAAACTAATAATTAGTTTACGAATGAAGATATACGTGTATGCCTGGACAAAAAAACAAAAATTTATTCAATGCACTTGATAATGCTGTTGGTGTGAAGTTTTGAGTGCTCTGGGGACCTTAAATTTCAATACAACCTAGACAAAAGGGAGAGTTCTGTGCTAGAGCACGTTAACTTTTCTCCTTCGATGTATGCAAGCAAGGTTGTGCTCTGCCATCTGAACCTATTGAATCAGAAAGAAGAGAATTTACAAGTGTATCTTTGAAAAGTACTTATGAAAATTCCAATGAATGTGAATGTCTAACACAAAATTGTTGATTGGTTATAAACTAGAATTTTGATTTTTGAGCATGGAGTTTAGTAGATGCATAATTAAAATTTAAGTTACTGGATAGTGAATGATAGTCCTATTTCAGTTATGGTGCTGCATTTCTTTTAAATTAGGCAATTTGGTTTGAGCCTTTTTCATAAAAACTTGCAGGACCTTCCACGAACCTTCCCTGGTCACCCATGGTTGGACACCCCAGAGGGCCATGCAGCTCTCCGGCGTGTGCTTGTTGGTTATTCTTTTCGTGATTCTGATGTGGGCTACTGTCAGGTGAGTTCATCAACAGTTGTTCTTGTCTTTTCTTTGTTGTATAAAAGACAACCTTTTCTGATTTGCTGTTTTCCTCTTGATGGATTTCTTTCCCTTTTGGTGGCTGGGCTGGGCTGGGCCATTGGGGTTGAATCTTGATTGCCTTGTGCCCATTGGTTTGGCTTTTTCACTCTATGATGAAAGTTAACCAGGCAATACTCTTTTTATGCTTTCAACAATGTGAAGAATGTCATTTTATGCAATTCTGCTATATGATTTTAGCAACAAAGCTAGACTGTTTTCATGGTGCAATTTTTTTTTTTTTGGCCAAGCATGGTGCAAGTTTAACGTAGCCAAAGTGTTTATTTATTTAAGCTTGATAAGTAAATCTTGCTTCTGCATTTTATGTCTATTTGCCATAACCTGTCCAAGTAGAAAATAAAACTTCTCTGTTTCTGTGGTTTTTATTCATGTCCTTACCTGTTCTCTTTATTTACAGTGACTTAAGCTTGAATCACAATCAAACTTATTCCACAGGTTGAATTACTTTGGTTACCATTTGTACCAAATTTGATGTAGAACATTATATAAACTCTAACATGAAAAATATCACTTGTGCTGAACTATTTTCATGTCCATTTTTTAATGCATTCTGTGATGGTTTCTCCTTTTTGCTTTTCCCTTTTGTTTTAACCTTATCAATTAAATAGAAAGAAAAAATTGAGTTGCATTTCTCCTCATGGATAATTTGTTCAAATCACTGACACCAATTTGTCCCTACTATTGCTGACTTTAACTGTCAGTACTTCTTGCTTTGATCTTTTAATGACATTTTTTCATTGGGTTGATCTCATTAACGGCCCTTAAACTATAGTGAACTGTTCAATGTGGGGTATCTAAACTTTAAAAATCTCTAATGTGACATCTAAACTATGAATTTGTTAACTAATGTGATACTTTTAGGGTTGTTTGCCCATTACATGTCATCATTTGAAGCTAGTCTCATTAGTGCTAAGTAGCACATTAGTTAATGGATTTATAGTTTAGGTACCACATTAGAGATTTTTGAAGTTTAGGTACCACATTGAACATTTCATTATAGTTTAGGAGCTATTCATGACATTAACCCCTTTTCATTCTTCATCTAATTGTGATTTTATATTAAAGACAAAATTTTGTTCTTGGTGTAGGGCTTAAATTATGTTGCAGCATTGTTATTGCTTGTTATGAAAACAGAGGAAGATGCATTTTGGATGCTTGCAGTCCTCCTTGAAAATGTTTTAGTCAGTGACTGCTATACAAATAACTTATCTGGATGCCATGTTGAGCAAAGGGTTTTTAAAGATTTACTTGCTAAGAAGTGCCCAAGGTATTTGAGGATTAAACTGTTTAATTCATTTATTTATTTTTGGATATACATTGAAGCTGGGGGTTTATCTTATTAAAAATGGGAGAAACCAAAATACAGGATTGCAGCTCATTTGGAAGCGCTGGAGTTTGATGTCTCCCTTGTTGCTACTGAGTGGTTCCTGTGTCTTTTTTCTAAAAGCTTGCCTTCAGAGGTTTGAATAATATTTCATTACCTCTTCCCTCGTACTGGCATATCTCATTTGCCTTTTGCAGATGGAGTCAATCTTATTTGAGGTGCTTTCTAACTCTTTTTTTTTTTTTTAATCTTTTTGTTGGCCTATTTATTCAGACAACTCTGCGGGTGTGGGATGTCCTTTTCTATGAGGGGGCAAAGGTTCTTTTTCATGCAGCTTTGGCTATATTTAAGGTGCCGATGTTGTTGCAATTTGGCTCTTCACATTCCTAGTCAAGTTGAAAATTTTCCTCAGTATTCCTAAAAATTGCCTGGTTGTCAAAAAAATACCATGGGAGCTAATTTAAGTTTTGGTCTGCTTTTGCAGATGAAGGAAGAAGAGTTGCTGCTAACACATCAGGTTGGTGACGTTATTAATATATTACAGAGAACTACCCATCACCTATTTGAACCTGATGATTTATTGACAGTAAGACAAGTCATCATTTGTTCCTCCACTTTTCTTTTCTTCTATAATTTTTCATGCTACTTTCCTCATTTTCTGTGTTAGTGGCAGATTCAAATTTTTTTTTTTTCAGGGATATCCACTTATAATATATAAAAAGCAAAAAAATGCTGATGTATTTACTAATTTTATCAATGGAAAGGGTGTGAAAAGTTTTGGGGATGTCCGGAAAAAAATTTTCCTTCAAATATTCTTGTTTCTTAATCATGGACACCCTACTACCCCATTCGGATCTGCATCTGACCTAGTTTTGGACATAAACTGGATAGGAGATCATTTAAATTTGTTCCACCGTGGCATTTCAAGGAATTGGCTTATGGAGTATAAACAGAATTTGAAAATTAGTAATATATTTGTTTTTTCTTTTAAGAAAGAGATAAAATGCCACATGGAGTGAAAACTTCTGTAACTTTGTTGTTTTAGGAGTATGGACTTGGTGTATGCATCTGAATCATTCTTCCACCACAAACTATGAAACATAACCCTCCCTATATCTTTACAGGTTGCATTTGATAAGATCGGTTTTATGACGACAAACACGATATCAAAGCAAAGGAAAAAGCAAGAACCGGAAGTAATGAAAGAGCTTGATCAGAGATTGAGAAGACTAAACTCTCTCAGAGAGGATGACAAGTAACTATTGTTGTGAGAAGACCAAGTTGTAGGTCAAACATCCAACACTAGACCCGTTGCCCGTGTGTGGAAGAATATGAAATTAATGCCTGATAAAGTGTAGATTTTCTGCCAGGGACCAGGTAAAGAGTGTTTGTTTTCTTCCAGGATGTTGTAGGTGATAAAATGTAAATTTTGAATCCATACAGTCTACGCAGCTGATGCTATATTAATGTAGTCTATTTTAATGTAGGTTGGCTCACAAGAAATGTTAGGTGAAATTTTATTCTAAACACTTTTCATTTGAAAATAAGAAGAATCTTGCATAAAAACTGGATGAGCTTAAAAAGTTGATTGGATTTTAAGTTATAAAACATATATTATAAGGATCAGAAAATGTAACAAGAAATTTCGTTTTTTAAAAAAAAAATTGTTGGCACTAAATTTGGTCACAGTCGAATTCAAAATCACTTGAAGAAGAGCTTTATTAATTGAGTCAATTTGTGATCAGTAACATGAAATTAAAAAAATATTATTGTATCAATTTTTAAAAATATACTAACTTGCTAAGTGAAAATAGATGATCAAATAGTTATTCATTTTGAAGTATAGACAGAAAGTTTTAATTTTGAAATTCAACAAGACCTTAATATATAGTAGGTACTGACTTTTCCAAAGTCCTTTTGAAAATTTGTTAAAAAGTTTTAGATTATATTTGATCCATAATACGATGGATAGAATAATATGATATTCATTTTATATTATATTTGTCTGTATCTAATTGAAAATAATATGATTATAAGGAGGATTATCATCCTCTTGGTATAAAATGATTAAATTCTCTCAAAACATAGAGGATTGTTTTTAATTAATGAGATTAAATTTACATGATTAATTATATTCTTAAAAATTATATTAATAATTTAAATTATATAAATTTTAAGAAAAGATAATTTAACTAATAAATAAATTATTTTATCTTAATCCTTATACATATCAAACATAAGCTAAGATGATATTATTTAATTTAATTTATAATATTATTTTATTTTATCGTATTATAATTTTATATACCAATCATGATCTTAGAAAGACGAATGTAGAGGACACATAAGGACAAGCCCCTTAAAAAAATTTTGGTAATATTATAATCTTTTTAACTCAAGCCTCCTTAATATAAAATTCGGACCTCCTTTCTAATTTGATTCACTATTTCAATCTCTCTTTTATGATTTTATTGGTTCCATCCTTGTTTAACATAGGTAAACATATTAACTTATCAACAATTTATCATTTATATATTACACAATAACCCAAGTTATATAATTTTGATAATATTGTAGTCTCTAACTCGGCCTTCGTTAATATAAAATTCAACCTTCCAAACTTGATTCATTATTTCGACTTCTCTTTTATGATTTTGTTGGCTTCGTCCCTGTTTAACATAGTTAAGCATATTAACTTATTAACAATTCATCATTTATATATTATATAACGACCCAAGTTATATTTTAAAAAAAAATAAAGAAAACCTCTAATCCAAATTTATCATGAGAAAAAAAAAGAAAATAAATAAAGTTGGTTATGGAAAAGAAACCATTAGGAGTTAAGGACAAATATGACAAATATCAAGTTTGTATATTTGCACCTCAAAATATACTCTTTACACTCTGTTAGTAATTACACTTCATATTCTCAAACCATACACCCTCAAAATCAATCTAAAATCATTAAGTTTTAGATTTAATCAAGTTACTAAGTTTCAATTTTTGATTTTTTGTTTTTGATTTTGGTTAAATTATTTTTGATTTTGTAAAATTTTGGTTAAATCTCGTGTGTGAAACCAAAGGTTCCAAATATATATTTTTGAAAATTTTAAAAATTTTCGAATTTACATTTTCGGAAATTTGTAAAAAGTATCTGAAAATGCAAATTTGAAAATTTTTAAAAGCTACTGGAAATGCAAATTTAAAACCTTTTAAGAAATATAAATAAAACTTTCGGAAATACAAATTCCAAAGCTTTTAAAGCTTTTCTTAAATGCAAATCCAAAAAATTTTAAAAAATTTTGAAAGTGTAAATCTGAGAACTTAAAAAAAAAACTAAAAATAAAATGTATCAAGGGCTGAAAGGTCATTTGTCAAAAATGAATTAAGTAATTTTATTTATGAGTATTTTTAAAATAAAATAAAAAAAATTTGGGGATGGAGAGCATATTTTGGGTGCAAATAGAATCTCCTTATTTGGCTTTAGCTTCAACTTTCTTGTCCTGCTTGACAAATTTCAAGTTAGGTTTGTTTTTGTTTTTTGTGTATGATTGTAGAACGTGTAGTGTCTGTAAAACATGAATCTTATCTAATGTTTTTTTAGTAGCAACACTTGAAAATTTAAGTTTGAGGTGGTTGCTTTTACTTATTGCTTCTTGAAATATTTTTGAAAGAAAAAAATAGTTAATGATAGAAAGCAAACTTATAATTATAATTGATTAAAAAAAAAAGAATGAATTACTAAAAATGTAATATCAATTCTTTATAAAAGTAATTGTGTCCAAATGATTTGCCTTTTTCTTCGTAGGATATTTTTTAAGAAACCAATGAGTTGGGATTTTTGTTGTCATTGCTAACGTACATGACAAAATTCATCAAAATTTGCATCTTGAATTTGCTACTTCTTGCAAAAGTGTACCTTTCTAGTTTTTTTTTTTTTCCTTCTGAACTTGATTCTAACTTTGTTGTTGTAGTACATAGAGCCCTTAGGATTTGAATGCCTGACTGTTTTCTTTTAATTGATATGACAGGATAGCTGAGTCTGCACTTTTTGAAATTCTTTAGATAATTGCTAGAGCAAAGGAATTGGGAGGATCTAATTAGTTTGAGCAGATGTTACTCTGCCACCTCAAACAGATTGTTGATAATGGAAATGCATACAGAATTGAAGGCGATGTTTCCTTCTCAGTAGAAAATTTTCCAGATTATGGCCAATTATCTGGGCGGAATAAGAAGACAATCGAGCTGGGGAGCCTGTTGTTGTGGACTCAAGGAAGAGAAACCCAGCTGATTTTGCGTTATGGAAGGCATTCTTTATGAGAAGCATTATGGCATACCTGAGTCCTGCATGCATGCATGATATACTATCATCACAACTAGAAAATATGTTCTTAGTATATCACATAATGTGCCTGACTCTTAGTAGACAAAGATTGTAGTTTTACTTCATTATTTGCACCCAACCAGGCATGGATGAATTGTGAACTTTAGGTGATTGAGCCTCATCTCGAGTTGTCAAAGAGTGGAACAGATCAGGCAGCCCATGCATTCCTAAATGGTACTGTAAACTTTGGTGGGTTTGAAGTAAATGTTTAATTGATCGAGTTCGAGTCGATATAATATTAAGTTTAATCTTGAGCTCGATTCTAAATTTGATGTTCGAAACTCAACTGAAATTCAATCGAGTTTTATTTTTTTAATTCGAGTTCAACTCGAGATAGAAATCAAGCTTTTTGAGTTTGTTCGATTAAACTCGATTAACATGTAAAAATAAGTTCGATTTTTATACTCAATATAAGTTCGATTATTTGTACTCGAGTTCAAACTCAAGTTCGAAATATTTTATCAATTAAAATAATTAAAATATATTAAAATATAAAAATTTGATTAGATTTACGAATAACTCAAGTTGAAGATAAAAATGTTCGAACTTGGCTTGATTGATAAGTTAAGCTATTTAAACTTAAGCTCGATTCGATAATAATTAAATCGAATTCGAGTTTTATTTAAATCGAATTCAAATAACTTGCGAATATTGATATATCATTTACACTCCTAATTTAAAGATGTAAAAAAAAAAAAAAGTTTCATGCCATTGAGAAACCTAAATATTACATCAAAATACAGTTTTTTTAATGTTTTTCTTTTAAGTTTCAGTTTTGCAAAATGAATAAATCCCTAGCTAAAAAAATCCTTAATGCCCATTAATAAAATATTCTTGGCAGTACAGCTTTAAGAATTATTATTGTTTATTTTAAATTTGAATCAACTTTACCGATTATATATTTTAGATACAGGTTCATCAAATTCTCTCTCTCTCTCTCTTTTTAAAAATAACAAACAGGAAATCATATGTTATATTTATTAGATCTTACAATTTATATTTTTGTATTATATTTGATACATATAATGATATAAATTATTAAAACATAAACGCGACATGAATTATAAAACGTATTTAAATTCTAAATATAAATATGAAACGTTTATTATATATATTACATGCGATACGGCATGATTAATATGTATATAATTAATTCATTTAAATATGACACGAATAAACACGAATAATATTAATATATATGAATAGATTTGATTAATACGGATATATATGAATATATATAACTAACACAAATATATATAAAAATACGATTAAAATAATAAATAATTACAAATTATCTATCATTTATAATTTAATAAATTTAGCATATTAATAATATAAAAAAATACTTATTAAAAAAATTAATACCCATTTAATATGTATTTAATATATATATTTAAAATTTAATATTTATTATATAACTATATTAATTTTTAGTATCAGATTCAAAATGATAAACTATTAAATATAAAAAATAAATAATAATATATAAGACTAATATTAATATTTATATTGTATTTATATTATTAATATAAAAAAATAATTTTAAAATAATTATTAAATAAGTATTTAATTAAATATTTAAAATAATTTTTATATGACATTAAATAGTTAATTAAGTATCACAATAAAAAGATTAAACATTAAAATAATTTTTATATATTTATATTAAATTAAAATAAATATAAAAAATATGTTAAACGTCTTAAACATATTAAACGTATATTCGTATGATAATATTAAATTAAATATGTTATTTATGTTGTATTATTTGTTAGATGTGTCAACATTTATAAAACACGAATTATTTTATGTTGAAATTTATATCGATACAAATAAACATAAAACACGTTTAATATATAATTTTTTTATATTATTTTTATATTATACATTATATCGTATTTAAAATTATCAAATTTAATACTTACACTTGAAACCAAGTTGGCTTTGTTATAGTTTTTCATCATGACCTAGTATTGTTTTTTTTAAATATATTTTGAATTATTTTTTTGCAGTCCGCAAAAGAAAGGAGCCTTTTTTTTGGGGGGGGGGGGGGATCTGGATGGCATATTGAGTGCAGCGCCATGGGTGCTGCTTGTTTGGGTCACTGTTTTGATATATATGGTGGAGGGATGGACCTTATG